GGAGCGGGAATGAACGGCCGCGGCGCGGGAAGGGGAAGAGCTGGACGGCCATGGCGTGGGAACAGGAACGGGCTGGACGGCCGCGGCGTGGGAACGGGCTGGACGGCCGCGCCGTGCTCGCCGCTCCTCTCACCCTGCCGCCTTTGCAGGTTCTGCGGCTTTGAACCCTTCTTTGACCCATGGGGGTGACCACGACGTGTACGGCTGCATCCTCACCTGCGACTATGAGTTCGTGTCCCCGTGGTGGGACGAGGTTTCCCTCAACGCCAAGGCCTTGGTGAGTTTGCCGGCGTTGGGTATCCCAATGCGGACAAGCCTGAAATTTCTCCACCTGCAGATGAAGGGAAGTGGTTCTTTTATACGGAGCATTAAGTGGGAAAGTCGCACAGTCCTGCAGTTCTCCTCTTACTGGTAGCTCCAGCCAGACGGCCGTGTGGGTCTGCAGGGCTTTCCTCCTGAGCTGCACTGCGGAATTAGCAGCATTCGCAAAACAGTTATGAATGAAACATACAGCGTGTCCTTCAGCGCTGTACAGCAAAACCTGTAGTAAAAAAAAGGGATAATTTACAAGAAAAAATAGTTGAGCATCAGAAAATAATTGCAGAGTGACAGCACACGCTGAGGCACTCCTGTGGCAAAATACAAACCATTTAGACTGACGCTTTATTATCTGTACAAATAGCAATCCCAGGCCAAACCCAAATGTTTTTCTGACTCTGGACGTGGTTCATGAAAGCTCCCAGTCCCAGATGCCCCTCGCGAACGCGGATGCCTGTTGAACCCCTGGCAGTGCTGAATCCCACCAAAAAAATGAGAAAGATCTAGGCGTGTGTTTTCAAAGGACCGCACTGCCGGAGGGAGATGCTCTGCTCTTTAGGTTTACTAATATATAGACAAGGTTTGTCTAATATACATTTGAACCCAGCTGTTCGATCCTATGGAGAGAAAACATGTCAGCAGTTCCTTTAATATCCGGAGATGGGAGACCTCTGTTTAATTTGTCCTCTTGTTACGCTCCAGTTTCATCTGTTCGGTCTTGCTGTGCCTGGGTGAGAGCGGTAAGACCACGACTAACCGGGAACGCTGCCTGTCCTGGCCTCCTCCTTTGCATCCTAAGCTACAATTTACGCCTCAAATTTAATTTAATGAAGAATAACGCAACTATTTCCACAGAGTGCCGTAAGACTTTGTAACGTGCAAAAGGTGCTGTCGTTTCTTGACTGAGGACGATGAGCTTGTACAGATTTTCGTTTGCTTTTTAAGACTAACGAAATTCGTTGACCAACTTCTTGAAAAGAATTGTTTAAGCAATTATTTACCAAGCCACACGATAACCGTTTGCAGACTTCAATACAGAACAAGTAATCAGTGAGGAAAAGCCATATCACACGCTGTGGACTACAGAACGCCCGTGCGTTGGTCCGCGGCTGGACGGGCCACGATCTCAGCTCGTGTAATCCAGCGGGACCCTTGTTCGTTTAAGGCAATGACCGTGATTGACGCCACTTGCAGTTTTGGCCATATGCATAGAACGATGTGTTCCAGGCAAGAAAATCTCCACCGGAAAAGAATGGAACTTGCAAATGAAGCTCGTTTTTCCAGGATGTGGACGTACCATTCAGTAGGTGATAAATGAGGAACTGCAAACAAAAAATTGTTATTAAGGCAAAGGCTGCAATTATAGACACCCAGCTCAGCCTAAACGGGGTTGGTTGGCAGACCTAGAACTGCAAACCAAGAAACAGGGAGGAAAATACAACACAAAGACTTGCAGATTTTTTTTATAGCACAAGTAGGAGTCATAAAGACTATATAAGGGCCGATCAATAACTTACAGAGCTCGTTTATATTTAGGGTGCTTGCAAAGCAAAACACAGAGAAGAGATGTGACACGCAAGAGTTTCTTACTTGGAAAAGTATTAGGTCGAGTTCAGAAACATGCTCCGTTTGACATTCATGCGTTAAATGGGAAGGAGATGAATGGTAAGATACCACTTCGGAGAAAGCAAACGTTAACAACATGGGAGAGCAGCGCAGGCGACTGTTTCTGCTACTTGGCGTTTTGCAGGAAGGGCAGTTGTTTTCCCCTCTCTTTTTTTAACAGATAGGGCTGAATCTTACGACGTGCTGAACGCGCTGGTCCTGCAAGTGTTTTCAGGTGACATTCTCTCTCCTTCAAACTCAGAGAAAGCGTTAATGGGGCCAGAACCTCACCTTTCAGCGTGTGCTTTAATAAACCCGGTCTGGAAAAGACCATTTTATATTGCTTTGACGTTAAATATATATTCAAATGCCTTGCAGGACCAGGCCAGCGCGCTCAGCACGCCCGTCGCCGGTAAAGCAGGGAGCAACGCTTGAAAACGCTAAATGACCTTGGGCGGCCTTCAGACTAGGGCTAGCCCTGCAGGACGAGAGCCAGGGGAAGACGGCGCCGGCGACCAACGAGGGCGCTTCGGCGGCGGAAGGCATCCAAGGGAAAGCGGGGGCCAAAGGAGAAAAAAAAAAAAAAAAAAGCAGTTTTGTCTCGTACGCTAGGGCC